CAACGAATAAATTACAGTATTATTAATATAATTATAGTATATACTCGAATAAACATAAAAACACTATTCCTTTACTATGTTTAACTATATTTTACAAGAAGGATAGAACATTATCTTTGAGATATTTTCTTTTTTTAATTTGATAAATTATGTATTAATTATAATTATTATTAACCAAGTTAATTAAGACAGCACACTTTTGATTTGAGACGGTATACGGGTATCACGTCATTTTAAATTTTAAATGTATTGAAAGCCGACACTACTTGTATTGGAAACCATATTGTTGCATACGGGTTTTAAAACTATAACACCACTCAAAACTAATAAATAATCGCAATTAATGTATTGTCTTACTGATACAATTGATAAACCTAAATAATATAACTGAAATAATCAAATTATTTTTATATTGATTGATGGACATATAAAACAATTACAACTGTAGTTCTTTATATCGAGTTTAAGAAATGCATTTTTATCAGTTTGCAATAATGCAAGAAAAATTAATTGTTCGTTTTAAATTTATCCCAAAATTACCGAGTAAACAAAAAAAAAAAAAAATGTACACAACGTATTCCGACTGATTTCACTGCAAGTAATTATAAACATCTCGACATTAATTACCAAACACGTTGCCTCTGTGGATAATAATCTAATAATCATTATTATATTAAATTAAACACGCTAACAAATAATTATTATTATATGATAGTAATTTTTTATGCAATATAAAATATATATAGTTTATACACAGATTATATGAATTTTTATATATACATATTACACATATAATATATCTAAATTTGAATAATATAACAGAAAATATTTTATGCATGACTCATCTGTGATTTTTTAAATTCAAGCACGTTTTATGAACCAAACCGCTTTACGAAAAAATTTAAATTTTGAAACAAACGTATTCTAATAAGGTTTTTTTTTACTTGGGAGTGGAAATAAATAAAACGATGTATCTAATTTTTATAATACGCATACAGTTACATACTACAAGCGTATACAGCATAAAGAGTTCAAAAGTTTGGATTTTATGAAAATTATTTTGTTAATTGTTATCTTATATACAGTTACGTTTTCAGCGAAATGTGATTTTTGTATAGGATAAGTTTTGTACCAACGAGGTGCCACACCTAAGTCATAAGCCAGTGTTAAGATTAAAGATGGTATCGTTGCGGAATATTATATAAACCAAATCCTATCAGTAAGATGCCAAAATTGCTTCAGGAAAATAATATAAATTAGGCAACCTACAATAGATATTAAATATTGGTTTTATACATTTACACACAAATCGAACTACAATTTTATCGTGATTTTATAACAAGTACAACCAAGGACAGATCTAGATTTATTTTTGAACCTGGGGGCTCAATAAAATATGGGACCCCTAACAAATAAAAAGGATAATATATTTTTATTAATTAAATAACATTTATTATTTAGTACTTGATATTTATTACATTTAACTTAATAATAAATTATAACAAGAATTAAATTGGTGAGATATATCAAGTACATTTGTACTTATAATAATGAAACATATTAAGCGACTTAAATTAATGATTTGTGGAAAATTATTACACTATTATTATAATTGCTATTTTGTAAATAAAAAAAACGTAAGTACTAATAAGTTGTATTAATAATAGTTTTACTACTATTGAACCTCCGAACATTAAAATTATTGTTGATACTATTGATTAAACTCATCTAATTAGTTATAATAATGTTATTGTTATCTAATGAGTTACAAGTTATTATTTATTTTTTGACGAAGAATTGTTTGATTACCATCGTGTTATAAATAGCAAGTTTAATTCAACTTTAAGTGCACTTTTATCGTGGACGGCAAAAAAACTTGTCTTATTTAGATTATTAAACATTATTTTTTTCTTCAATTTTAATGCTTATTGCAATGTACGTAAATTCGATAATTATTATTACACATAAATTACTTCCATTCAAATATGTCAATAATAAAAATACCAATTATATTTTGGATGATAATTTAATTTTACATAGAAAAATAAATTTAGAATTAATTAATTACATTTTACTGTAATAACAAAAGTGTGAGGTTCCGAATTTATGAAGCCTCTTAGTTACAACCAACTTAGCCCTTCCTTAAATCTGGCCCTATGGTATAACTTCCATCGACAAAAACGATAACTATCTACCAATAAATATACTCAAATTTCACGATAAAACGTAATAAACACTATAAAATAATAACACTAACATTTACACACTTCTCAATTATTCGTCCAAGTGTAATGTGTATCAAACCAATGTATGTATGCACATATATCTACACTTAAATATATACAACTTATGTATACGATAACGTCCTTAGTTCACGTGAATATTAATTAAATTTGTTCTAAAAAAACATATGTAAATTAATTTAACTGGCCAGATTGTGTACATATAAAATCAATAAAATTAACACCATATGACAAGCATTATTTTATTGTACTATATTTGATAAGATTAATAATAGATAAAAAAAATTAAATAAAAAACACGAAAGTGTTTGGGGATATAACAAAAATTCAATATGTCTACGATGTGATGCACTGCAGGTAATTCGGTGCGAATAGATGTTTTCATAATATTATGTAACTGGATAAAAGCAAGCATTTTTATTATTCATGTTTGATTCGTAAAAATTTAATAAACTGTCTGTATTTATTCACCCGGTCTTGAATAATTGTTTAAATTAAATTTCACGTAACATACTTTATACTAACACACATAACTCTATTCATCCAACAAAAACATATCGAACTACGTTACGGCTGTCACTTTTAAATCTCTAACCAGTGTAAGTGGAAATCTTTAACAACACATGTACATAAAACAATACTCCTAACGTTATAGATTCGTATTCACCTTATTAAGACTAGACTTATACTGATAACTATAAATTTGCGTTTTTGTTGTTATTTCGAAACAATAATAATATATAAATCAAAAGTCAAGTGGTTTTGGCCCAATGTACAGAAGGAGATGATAGAATAATGAAAGTAATAACCGAATGAAAAATGCATAATAATAATACGCAATGTCGCTTTCGACAGAAGTCGATATCCGCGAACTGCACCTGCTTAACGACATCCTGCACGTGGTTTCAACCATATACGAGTTATTATTATACACATAGATCAGGGATATCAAATTACAGGAATTTACAATAATACGGCCTTACTTGTAAAACGCCAATAAGGATTCGGCCGATCAGAAGCTCAAAGGATCGTGTAATCGAGTGGAAACCATACATCCTTGTACTAAGACACATACGAAGGGTATAGAGGGGTAAAAGAATAAAGTACTTTCGAACGCATTGATAAAAAATCAACATCGAATTAAAAACATTTGATTAATAATGATATTTAATTGATATATTTATTTTTTTAGTACAGATTAAAAACCCACGTATGACGCATTTTTCCAATAATTTAATGTCACGATAGTATAATGTGACGTAGATGTGGATATAAACGACTATTATCACAGTTTGTTATAAGTATAAAGAAACATTATTTGTGACGATTTTTTTTTTTTTTTTTTTGAGAATTTAGGTACCTACAGAATCTCACGATTTAGTATTTTATTTTATAGACGACCGATCATACGACATGCCGCAGTCACATACATGCGTCGGCGGCGTGAAATTCTTATTCGAAAAACACACTATACCGCTGTGTACACGGTGAACGTATGGTCGTTTTTATGGCGGTCGTAAAAACGGAGAGAATGGAAAAAATAACCGACGTCGTCCCTTTTTGTACCTGCAACGATCGTGTTCGAATAATGCGTACGGAGCCTGTGGCGGTGGTCTTTTGTGTCGGCTCGAGAGGGGTTCCAGCAGGCCGCCACCATAAGGTTTTCGACATTTCGATTTGTATTATTGCTATCAAATACACGAATATACTGTGCTGGTCTTTTTGCATGCTGAATAGGTTACAAAATGATTCTATACGGGTATTTCACGTTCAATAAGTGGCAGGGGAGTGGAAAAAATTAATAAATTCAAATCATGCTACCTTAATCGAACACGTTTAAGTCTAAGAAGAATTTCTAGAAATAACAAATAACTGCGATGACCCGCAGTCGTTTTTCGACCTATACACAGAACAGCGTCGCAGGTATTCCGGTATCGGTATGGATCGAATGGAATAATTTTCGAATGATTTACGGTAGTACACAAATCGAGATAAACGAGTTTCATTGTTTTGGACGATTAAAACGAAAACATTTTAATCTAAATATTCATCTGGTTCATTAAAACACACGCATATTTTAACCCGGGAAAAATCCTCCAATAGGGATTAGTCGCTTGAAAGAGATTTACTACCAAAAAAAATGTATCAAGGAACACTGCCGAGGAACGCATTTGATCGCGTTACCATCAGACAAAAAAATTGAACATAGAATTTGCATTTAACAACGTGAATATGACACGATAACGAAAACAAATTACCTTTGCCAACAAATCAAAAAGCCACCGCAATGTAGAATCACTCATTGTGCGATCAAAAAAAGCACTGTCAGTAAGAGTTTATATTTTTTTTGACCAATAAATGTTGATTCAATTTTGCCGAGACACATGAAGTGGTAAAAAAAATAGTTGAAAATTCCGTATAATCGGAAGGGACAAAATTTTTTCTCACAGGATTATTTCGAAAATTATTTTCTAACTCGTAGTCCTTCCACGATCACTCGTAAAAAAATTATCAGTCGTTTGCCATCCAATCATTCTCACTCAAAGTCTACAATAGTAACGTAACAATATTATGTGCTCAGTAACAAAGAGGTATTCACACGAATACAACTATTCACAAATTGCATTTTATCGGTAATTTTTCCTGCAACTACCCCTTAAAAAACGTGTACCCCACCGTACGACTCAAGATGCAGTCGTTATTAAATGCCCGTTTATATTCATATTAATTCTAAACGAAAAATGTTTAAAATCTAACCTCGGCCGAAGCTCTCAGACACGGAGTCGTCTTGCACACGAGAAGAGGGGGTTGCGCCCGCGGCCACAGGATCAACATGAGAAGCTGCGTGACAATCAAGACGAGGCACAAGAACACCGCGGCCAAGACCAGTATCAACCCGATCCTGGAGAAACCAGTCTTATCGCGGAGTTTCTGCTCCAGACTAGTAACGGCGGCGAACGCGTGGAACTTGCCATTGTTGTTGGCGGCGGTGTTGTTGTTCTCCAGTTTCTTGTCACCGGCCGGCGTGACGACGACCGCGGTCCCGTTGTTCTTGTCCGTCGACTCCTTCAGGCAGGGCTCGCGCTCCTCGTCCACCACCGAAAGGCAGCCGTCCGGTTTGTCTTGCATTTCCACCACGTCCTCGCGGTCCTGTGCCATCACATCTGTCACCAACGTAAGATTGGAATACAACTCGCGCGCGGCGGCGGCGACGACGCAACTATCGGGTCCGTCGACTGCTGCTAGCAGATCGGTATCGAATCGAACCGGTTTCGTCGGAAAACGATTCGCGATCGCCCGAACGGCGGAAAAACGACGGGGGAGAAATAATCGAAAACGAACGGAATCGGGTATCGGCGCGCGCGCTCACGTTTTAACGTTCGACCAGCGGACGGCCAAACACACTCTGTTCGGAGACTGCGCGTGTGTGTGCAAGAACGCGACGAATACCGGCGGCGGCGGCGGCGGCGGCGGCGTCGACGACACATTACCAGTTTGGCGGGAAAATCAGTGTTACCAACGTCGTCGGCGAACACCAAACCCGACCCGGTCGTTACGGAACGCCGTCTGCACGTGCGTAGCGCGGCTACTGTTTGCGCGTGTTGATAACCATTGACGTTCGCTTTGGATTGACATTTCGAATACGTGCGCGCACCAACGTGGTACGATCAATTATTCATAAGGACTGTCGCGGAGTTCGTGTGCGACCGGGCGGGCAGGTGTTGTGCGCGAGGAGTAGATGGTCAGCGACGGTACGTGCGTTCGATTCCAGGCGCCAAAAACCGTCCGTTTGTCACGCGCAACACGTTCCGATCCTATCGAATTGAAATGCTTGGCGATCGACGTGCGACCGTCGTTTGAACACGGCCTCCAGTAACGTTCCGCAGAAACCCGACCGGTCGCGCGAAACGTTGTACCCAAGGGCGCCCAAATACGGCGGCAAGGGAGGCACATGCCCCCCCCCTGGAAAATGTCAAAAATCTTGGAAAATTGTTTCCCATGATCAGAAAATAATTATTTAAATAGGATTTAAAAATTTAATTTAATATATGAAAATCTATAATTTGTTTATAAATAATCTATTTAGTTTGGAATATCAGGATGTCAGCTATAAATAACAATACGCTTTTTCGTTTCTATTCCATGGATAATTATCAATTCTTAAAATATTGTGTATTTCTAGATATACGGTATGCAGTGGCGTAACTGGTTGGTAAAAACCTGGGGGGGGGCAATATAATATATTTATTATTACCAAAACCCTGACACCCCTCCCCCACACCGTTTAAAACATATTTTTATTGTATGTATTTTATACACTATATCTAATTGTTTGATTTTACATGTCTTTTAACTCATTTCATGGTTTAGATAAACATGAATTGTAGGTAGCATGTACTAGGTACCAATATCGTTAAATACTATCCATAAGAGTTCATTAATAAAAGGTGCTATTTGTATTGTTGGATTATCTGGGGGGGGGGGGCAAAATTATACCGTTATCTCTCAAAAAATTGTCAGAGGGAGCACTTTCCCCCCACAATTACGCCACTGACGGTATGTATATGTGTGTGAGTGTACTCAACCATAATTTTTGTAAATTAATATTTTAATAAATATAACTAATATTTTAAGTGTCTAATTTATATTAATAATTAAATAAAAACTTCAATAAATTACTTTTATGGTAAATTGGTTAAATAATTATTATTTTACAGTCTTCCAGTTTGGTATACATGATCTAATAGTATAATGTGAAATTGTAAACCCCTTCCTATATCGTGGGTCATTCCTATTTATAAATAGATTGATAAATTAAAATGTTGTCCCCCCCTTGAGAATGAGAATTTTCTATGGGCGCCTTAGGTTTTACGGCTCACGTCGGTAAACATACCGCGTGGGGAGCCCACGTCCCTTTATTGGCCGGACGAAAATGTACACGACGTCGTCTCAGCCCGTGACGACCAGCATTTCTGCACCGTCGGTTATATTTTCATCGAAATGTTTAGATCGAAAAACAATTGTAACATTTTCCGTCTTGAATTTACTCTCTCCTATATTATCGAAAAATCCGTGTGGCAATACGAGTTAATTTCACATTACGGTACATTATGGTATATATTATGGTATACACAACACTTGGCTTATTACAGGGGCGTATTTTGACTTACTTCGAGGAGGTGGGGGGGGGGAGCGACCCGAATTTTTTCTTTAATTCAGGCTCAAAATGTACAAGTAAAATTTTTGGTAACATTTAAATCAAGTGAATTCTTAATATTTGTGGTTTTTTTTTTTTTATTTAATGCCGGATCCACTTAGAATCGACTTTTGTGTAGTTATTTTTTAACACCTATGTGTGTTTTGAAAGTTTCGCTTATATTTTATTTGATTTTTCACTAAGTATGGACCAGGGCTTAAATCAAAATAATATATATTGTTTACTGTTATAGGACATTTAAACGTTATAAGCAATTGAACGTTTAACGCTATAAATAATTTAAATGTTTAAAAAAATTTCCGTTTACCGTTATTGACAATTAAAACGTTACGAAGAATTTAGCGTTTTGAGTTATTTAAATTAGTATAAAATTTGAAACGTTTTCAAATGTAGTATTAAGCAATCAATACTATGTAAAATAACATTATATATTTTAAATATTATATATATATATATATATATTACCTTTAACCAGTGGTGTATTGGTAAATATATTTGTGGGTATACGCACTAAAAAAATATGGATATTAATCCTAAAATAAATTTTCTCACTTCGCTCATCAATTGTTTTCTCTCGATACGTTCGTAAAAATTTAATCAATCCTTTGTAACTACATGTTGACAACGTCTACTAAGACTTTAAAATATAACACCACAAGATATACATTTGTAGCGCGTTATAAATTGCATGATGCAGCAGTGGCACACACATAGGGAGGGGGGGTTAAGGAGTTGTAAATCCCCCCACCGACATTTTCTCCGATGTTTATAAATTTTACAAATTTGAAATATGAAGAGCTAGTATTGAATACCTAGTATCATTGATTATAGAATAGTCTATTCTATTATCAATACTATTATTTAAGTCAAAATATATTAAGGATTTGCATAATTTTGTTAAATGTAAAATGTGTTATATTTTTATCTTGACCCCCCCCCCAAAAAAAAAATCCTGTGTGCGCCACTGTAATGCAGATTTTAGAACCATGGGCTGAAAGTTCACACTCTATACCAAGGGTGCCCAATTTATTTTGGAAGCGGGCTATAATTGCAATTACATTTAGCTGGTGGGCCATGTTATGAACAAGATTTTCTTACACTTATAATTCATCTAAAATTCTATTTTCAATAGATACTTAATTAGATAGAACAAATAGGTATTTAAATTAAACAACATTCTAAATTTCACATGTTTTAATTTTTAATAATATTTAAAAAAAAACATCAGTGAGACCTATGAAGAGACTTATTAGCTAATAATTTTTCAATATCTGGTGATAAATCTGATGTTGATAACAACATCAAATCTGAAATATGAGGCGCAGTTAACGAACTACGATATTTATTTTTGACATAGGTTAGAGTAGAAAAAGCTTTTTCGCAAATATATGTTGATCCAAATCTGCTTGAAATCTGCAAGGCAAGATCACACGTTGCAGGAAAGTCTTCTTTTGGTACTAATTTCCAAAATTTTAATACATTTTCTGAAGACTGCAGTTGTGGTTGTGATGATACAATTTCGGTAAATATCTGCTTCAAGGAAACGTGGTTTTGAATTTCTGTGATTTCCAACTGGATATTGCATGAATATTTTTGTATTTCACTAAAAGTGATTGAAAATCGGTTCATGAAAAACAAAATATTATTTTTGTCCTTCTCAAAATCCTGAAATCTGTTCTCAAAAGACTGCAACAATAATTGAATTTGTGTTTGATATTTCGAGATGTCAGGTGAAGTATTTTCTAGTTTTCCTCTTATATCTACAAGCGTAGGAAAATGATCGATATTATTTCTAGTCAAATTTGTCAAAAAAAGGGAGAGTTTCGCTTTAAATCCATAAACCAAATTGAACATTATTGGTAACGAACAGTCCTTCCCTTGCAGCTTCCAGTTAAGTATGTTGAGGTGCTGTGTAATATCTATTAAAAACGCAAGATCGCATAACCATGATTCACTTTCAAGTAAATCTCGCTCATCAGGCATTGCCTGCTTTTCTACTAAAAATTGCAAGACCTCTCTCCGCAAAAGAAAAAAATGTTTCAGCATTTCACCCTTAGATAACCAGCGGACAGCACAATACAAATGTAACTCACCGAATTCATTGATTTCTTCTTCAAATAAAACCCTGAATTGTCTTCGATGAAGAGCTTTGGCTCGGATATAATTAATACAGCGTACTACAGGATCAATAACATCATTAAACTTCATATCTTTGGCACATAAAGCTTCCTGATGGATGATACAATGATATGAAAATAATTCCCGGCCTAAGAACTGTTTTAACAAGGCCACACAACCATTTATTTTTCCCGTCATAGCGGGTGCTCCATCAGTACAAACAGAATTAATTTTTTCCCATGCTATACCTTTTCTGTCGACACATTCCTTGATTTTCATAAATATGTCTCTTCCGGTACTTGTAGTTTCCAACTGGCTGAGCTCTAATAAATCTTGAAATACATTAAAATTTTCATCAACACACCTCACGAAGATGGCTAGCTGTGACATACTCGTCAAATCACAAGTTTCATCCAACGCCAATGAAAAATACTTACATTTCGTTACGGTTTGTGTTATTTGGTTGCTAATATCGTTTGACATCTCCTCTACTCGTCTTGTTACAGTATTTCTCGAAAGTGAAATACCGTCTGCTTTAGTTTTTATATTTTTATCATTACAGTTATTAGAAAAAATTGATAAAGCCTCTTTAATAATTTCCCCATCAGAAAAAGGCTTTTTATTTTTGGCTAAAAGTAAAGATATCTCATATGATGTTTTTACCATAGATTCGAGTTCATCAAATTTTTTTACAAATAAATTCTGCTGACCAAATATTTCTTTTTTTTTCTTCTTTATAAACTCAGCTCTTAGAGAACTTCCTTCCGGGTAGTTTTTATTAATACTTGAATGATTTTGTTTAAAATGCCGTTCTAAATTATATTTTTTGGCGACGGCAATCGTAGTGGAGCAAATAAGACATATGGGCTTCAATGCTTTGCTTTCAGTAAAGCAATATTGCATCTCCCATTCTTCGTGAAATGTCCGAGAACGTTCTTTCAATTTCGACGTAATTGGTTTGCTGAGAGCCATTCTGGCTTAAAATTAACAAGTAAAAACACAGAATAAACGCAATTATTACAAAATAATTTAATATTTATTAAGTTGTACGTATTATTTTTACGACCGTAGCAAAAGGCGGGTGCGGAGCGACTGATTTTGGTCGCTGTTTGTACAATATTTCGAATAACAATTTATTATCTTAATTCGCCGATATACGACGACTACGTCGACGGACAATCAAGATAATCTATAAACATAAAAATAATACCGATTAACATTGCGACAAATGCGGGTTCGGGTAAAACGCATCCGGTCATCACAGGAAAACCCGATAACATTGCTGTGTGGAATGGTCCTAGTGCTAATTTGATACACACACGTATATAAAATAAAATATACAACAAAATTTAAACTTAAAAGAAATATTAATAATAATTTAAAATGTCATAGACTATAGAGTATAGATGTTGGCGGGCAAATCCAAAAGCGTTGACGGGCCACTTCGTGGCCCGCGGGCCTGGGTTTGGGCACCCTTGCTCTATACTATTTTATTCAATGTTATTTATTACTGTGAAATACATTAAACACAACGTACACTGTTATCTTCAACAGCTAAATATTTCAATCAATTTCATGTTTCATTACAATTTTTTCCAATGAACTATTAAATTATTATAAGTTTTTTTGTTTTCGAGTTATTTTAGAAGTGTATACCCGTAAAATAATATTGTACATTAGGTATACGCCGAAAATCTAGTCTACTGATGTGTATACGCCGTATACCCGCGTATACGTACCAGTACGTAAATGGCATTAACGATATTTTTTTTATGTAATTCTCATATCTCATAACTTATAAATAAAGCAATCATATTTGTTGTATAACAACAATAAAATGCACATACGACGTAAAAAATGTATTTATTGTTAATTTATAACTTACGTATGGTGCATTACTACTTATGTTTCATCGGTGTTCATCAAAATTATTTTTGATAAGACCATACGGGTTCCACGCCGACAATATCCGACGTATTTTCATAAAGCATATTTATGAATCATAATTGGTAATGCTAATTTATATATTATTAGTTGATACATTTATTGCTGTTTTAAATATCATTTTTATATATATTTTATTTAGATTACTTAGTAATTTAAGTCAATTTTACCAAAATATTATGTTCCAAATCTATTTTACTGATAGTTATAAATATTTTTCCATGGCAATTTCTTTTATATTTCAATCGTTAATCGTTTTCTGTTATGTTATTCGATATTAATTTTAATTGTTTTTCGTTTCAATTTCACTATATGTTATCGATTTCAATCACTTTTTGAATAGTTTAACGATATACTTATAATGTAATAAAAAAGTTGTGGTCCCCTGGACACTTAGTATCGTTATAAAATGATCCACATTTCAAATTTTTTTAATATTATGATTGATTCCTTAAATACGGAATCAAGGAGGGGGGATGATCGCACCCTTCGCCCCGCATAAAATACGCCCCTAGCTTATTATAGTATTTACTCTTTACTTTTTTCGAAGGCGAAAGAAACAACGAACAATTTGCACGAACGTTTCATTAAACCCACAAAAGCATAAGTATTCCATCGCTTGCTGACTCCTAAAAGACAGGATATGGATGGCGATCGGTATAGGTATAAAAAGCGAGTGTAAGATTTGGAAAAATGTGTTTATTAAGTTTTATTTGTACTATCAGTAAATGGTTTTTTTTTTAACGATTATTTATAACTATCAAGTAAAACACCATGTAAATTTAATGATATGCAAAAATATTTAAAATTTTATTAATTTTAATATTATTTTCCATTGGCGTCGCCTAAGGAAGGAGGGCTAAGGGGGTTATAGTCCTCTTATAGATCATGTTTTTGTGTATGTACTAAACTAGTGTGCTACTATTTAGTATTTAAAACTTTGATACAAACCAAATTTTGACGAATAACGGGTGTTTATCATTGGTAAACGTATTACGTCTACCGTGATTACTACTATATTTTTGGTGGTTACTGTGAAAGTTGTGGTGACTCTCGTCTAACACTTATATTTTATAATCACTATAGTTTTTATAACATGTTATGTCGTGGCGATGCTGCTGCAGCTGATTACCGTTAATTAAATATTATTAAGACTATTTTAAAATGTTGGAAACACATTTTTAAATTTGGTGCTTATAAGTGAACTCTTAAAGCTTTTCTCACCCAATCTGTCAAAAGAAGTGTTTAGCCTCTCTCCCATTTTTTAAAATCTTGGCTACGCCATTGATACTTGCTTATTATGTTACATGGATTTCAGTAGTAGGGTTATCATGTTTACCACCCATAAAAATAAGACAAAAAACTCATTAAATATTTGTCATTATATAATTTTATCTTCATAGAGCACGTAATATTTTTATGCGTATTTGAGAAATTCAATTTAAATATATTTTCTTCTCGTATTCAACCTTATGTAGTTTTTATGTTATGTTCCTTATGTACATATTACCTTATGTTTTGTAGTTGGATTCTACTTTATCCATATGGAAGGTTCCCAAGTCCTGTAATGACCCTCATTTACAGTTCCAGAATAAGGTATCGCCCGTGTGCGTCTCAAAAAAAAATACGTCTTATTTGTCCATAACCCAAGTACGTTCCAGTTCATTTAGAATTACCCAGGGTACATCACGAGGAGATGAGCTAGCTTAAACCACAAAAATATTTGATACATTATTAATTATTTTAATATTTTATTTTAATTAATTAATTAATTTTGTTTTTAAAATTTCGAATAAGTGTACTCATTTTTACTTAAAATGTATATTTATATCTACCTATTTTTTTTTTTTTTTTTAGGTCAACATATAAATGCAGCAATTCGTTGTTTTTGTGTATAAAATCGTAAACAACTTCTTATTGCTATCTACATTAAAAATTAATAATTTTGGTCTCAGTGTTTTTTTTCTTAAGTAATAATTACGTTACTAATGTTAGAAAACGCTTTCCTTGTTTCTTCATCTCTCGGTTTTAAAAAAATAAATTTAAATATTTTACAATACTTCTAATATTCTAGATTAAAGTAAAAAAAAAAAACCCCTTTTGAATTAAACGACTAAATCCTCCAAAGCAATATATTTATGTAAATTGCTTTGCTCACAAACATTAGTAATACCAAATTGGGTTATTTTCAAAAAATACATTTCATTGGTATTTCTTTTACATCTGCAAAGAGTTCATTAATAGTGCTAGCCATATAAACCAACCGCCTTTGTACTTCCATTTTTATAAATATAGTAAAGCTGGTTATAAACAAAAAACAATTAAAAGTAAAAACAAATTATAGTATCTTAAATCACCATACCATAAAAAGTTTGAATTAATCATTCATGTATATGTACTCTTATGTTCAACTCGTTAAAGAAACTAATCAATTTTGTTAGTGCTTAAATGATTTGAAAGTCATAATTTATGGAAATCATAGAATTGAAAAATTGATTACTTGAATAACTGTACGATAGAGAAAATAAATTAAACGTGAATGCATAAAACATTGTTTAAGGTGAACCTCTAAGGAGACAAAAGAATCCAGAATGCTCATACGTCCAATTAAATTTGATAATACATACATAAATTATTTAAAATGGTTACTGTTATAGCGTTCTAAACATGATTTCTTACAAGTTGAAGATGTAAAATTGATTGCATTATGTGGAAATTAGATATATTATATCAATATTGATAACTTTTAACTTCCATCATTTAAAAAAACGTAATTCGTATATATAAACATAAATTAAAATATATTTTTGATCTTTAAAAATAATGTTTTTATCGAAAATATTTTTTACAAAATTAATGTATATTTTATAATACTGTAAAAGATAATTATATTTATAGAAATATGGAATCATAATTAGTTCGAATACGAAAAGTTGTTTAATGCCATTATAATACATAAAATAAAGATTACTTAGGTAGTAAATGTATAGATGTAACTAAAATAAATTATTAATTATAAAACAACACGGGTAACAGGAGCGTAAACAAAAAAATAATTGTAAACGAACCCGAATTTTTCTAAAAAATTAAAATACATTTTTCAAAAACACTCACTGAATGAGCGCTTTTATGCTGAAAAACCTAAAATATGGAAATATACACAGTACAAGCAGATTTTACTTTATACCTTTTTCTGTTTTCGGAGGAAAAATATAAACCGGCAAAGTAAAATAAAATGTGAAATATGTCATCTCAGTTCGTACTCATACATTATATATAATATGGCTTATGGGCCCATTACTATAAGCCAATTACGAAAACTATAGTAATAGGTTGTCCTAATAAAGAAGTACAAATTTAGATATAAAGTAATTATAATTGTGTGATAATACAATTGATACAACTTGTTATCGTATACACCATAAGTCAGAAGCGTATATAGGAGGGAGCCTAGTGGGCTACAGCCCCTCCCCACCATCCCGAAATTTTTTAAAAAACTTAAAAATTATTTTAAACGTACGTTATAATTTAATGGCGCTTTATGCTTATTTAGAATTTGCGTCCAACGTCAAATCGTTTTGGGACATTCTGTAAATTAAATGTAGATAAGTACCTATTGTGTCTTGTTAGTAATTCTTAGATAGCAGTGGTAATTTAACTAATTTAATTCTGTCCAGAGTAGCCCCTCCCGAAAATATTTTCTGTATACGCCACTGCTATAAGTATCATAACAATTTGTGTATGAGAATTAAACGTTGAAAATCTATTTTCAACTGCAACGCGTTTCTTCTAAATGCATATAAGCGGTCACTATAATTAATTGGTCCTTTGTTCCCTTTTAAAATATGCAGAGAAAAGAAGACTATAAAACGTATCAAATAAAAATAAAAATGACGTTCGTAAATTAATATTGTTTTTTCCCAAATTAGAATTTCAATACGATATACATACCGTTGCTAAATCAAATAATTAAATAGAAGATATTAATTGCGATGACATGTTTTATGGTGTTGCATATAAAAATAATTAAATGTGTTAAGTTGCGAATGATATACATTAGACTTAATTGACAATATAATTAATAAAATGCGTTGAAAAATAATGTCGAGAATGCTCATTAATTTCTTGGATTTCAAGCGTATTTTATTCGGACATAAACTATATAACAACAATGAGTAGCAAGCAATATTGTCTACATGTTGTTCAACAAACAGTAATCGAATCGATTAGAAATAAAGAAAAAACTGAATACCACAAAGGTTCTGTCTGTGATGTTTGTATCTTATCACCAGGGCTAGGATTTGTATGCAACAACATGTTTTTTTTTGCGACTTCTGATTATTGATTTTATCAGTAATGTCCACGAATTACCTCATGATGAGATAAATGGCGGTGTTTTTATTTTGCATATTTTGCATATTTTGGATAAAATGCATATTATTGCATATATTGAATAAAATGAATATTATTGCATATTTCGATTATAAGAATGCGAAAAATTAATGTTTTATAGTATATTTCGTAATTAATATTTATAGTTTAATATCAATATTTCGTATTTAATTCTAACCCTGCTGATTAAAGTATAAAACTTGATTTTTTTATCAAACATATATTTTATTTTATTTCTCGATTATATGGTATTAAGATAAACAG